AATAACCAAAAAATGCGTAAAATACTTGTGTATCAAAAGCGCACAAAAAAACTTACATAGGTTAAATTAGCAAGTTCTATTTAAAGAAATAAAGAACAACTTAAGTAGTTAGAGGAATATCCAGTGTTCATTGCTAAAACAGGACCTTTTAATGAATATTAAAATACTTCCAAAATAAATGTGCACTTTTAGTGATATACTAATCACATTACCAAGGAATACTTTATAGAATTTTATAAAAATAACAAAATTCAATTGGAAAACCAAAAGATCTAGAATACTAAGGGAAATGATAAAAAGAGGTAGGGTTGAGGGAGAATAGCTCCTTCAGTCCTCAAACTATATTATAAAGCAGCACTCATCAAAACATCTGGTATTGGTTAAAAAAATAGAGAAATATATATCGCTGGAACAGACTGGACAAGGGAGAATCAGAAAAATAACCCCTTGTTTGATCAAGTGGAAAACAAATTACTTAAGAAAAAGCTCCCAATTTGACAAAAACTGCTGGAAATGTTGGAAAGCAGTCTGGCAGAATTTGGGCTTAGACCAATATTCCATTACACCACATTCCATAATGCATTCTAAATGGATATGCATCTTTAACATTAATGATCAGACTATTAAAAAAATTAGAAGAGAAGCAGATCATATACCTCTCATAACTATGAGTAGGACTTGTAGTCTTAACCAAACAAGAATTAGAGGCAATTACAAAAGACAAAATAGATAAAAGCACAGACAAAACTAATGCACCTAGGATAAGAAGGAAGTGGTTGAATAGGAAAAAAAATCTTTTATATGAAATTTCTCTGATTAGTTGCTATCCAAGATATATAATATGTAAAACATTAAATATAATGTGTATACATACATATAAATATATGTATGCCATTCCCCTATAGATAACTGGTCAAGGTACATGAACAGTTAGTTCTCAAAAGAAGAGTTGCAAAGTACTTACAACCACATGAAAGAATATTCCAAATCTCTAATAAGAGAAATGTAAATCAACACAACTCTGAGATTTTACCTCACATCTTACAAATTAGCATAGATGACAAAAAATGGTAATACCCAATGTTAAAGAGTTGTGGAAGGACAAGCACATTAATACGTTGTTGGTAGAGCTATGATATGGTCCAACCATTTTGTAAAACAATTTAGAATCATGTAAATAAAGTAACTAAAATGTTCACAGCCTTTGAACCCAAGACTCCATTACTGGGCTTGTACACCAAGGAAGCTACTGATAAGAAGAAAGTCCCCACGTACACCAAAATATTTACAGCAGCACTTTTTGTGACAGCTAAGAATTGGAAACAAAGTAGATACCCAACAACTAGGAACAGCTAAACAAATTATGGCACGTGAACATAATGGATCATTCCTGTGCTATGAGAAATGATGTGTATGATGAATGCAGAGAAGCATGGAAACATCTGTATGAACTGATACAGAGGGAAGTAAGCAGAGCCAAGAAAACAATATAGATAAGGACTGCAACAATGCAAATGGAAGAGCAACTACACATCAAAAATTAAAAGGGAACATAACAAAATTATAAAGATCAAGTATGACTTGAATGAAGAGACATGAGAAAACACCCCCCAACCCTCCCCTTTGTGAAGGTGTGAGGTCCATAGGTATTACACATTGTACTTTTTCTGACTTTTTCATTATGAGCTTTTTTTTCCTCTTTAAGAAATATTATTACTAGATTTTGATTACTGAGCCTAGAGCAAAAAGTGGAAGTGGGGGCTGCCAAATGACTGGGGTGGACTGCTGGATAGAATATGAAACATGGTCTGATGTAGTGATCTGGTACCAGCTAGAGTTACTGAGTTAGCTGATTTTGGAGTGAGGAAGACCTAGGTTCAAATTTGGATTCGGATGCTGACTAGCTATAAGATCATGGTAAGTCAAATGTTTGAATCTGTTTCCTGTAAAATAGGGTTAATCATACCTGTCATACCTACCTCACAGGGCTATTACAAGACTCAAATTCAGTGCTATATGTAAAGTACTTTGCAAACTCTGAAGCAACATATAAATATTAGTCATTATTTTGAAGTGTGTGGAAGATACAGTGCTGGACTTGGAATCAAGAAGACATGGGTTTGAATTCCATTTCATACCATTACTAGTTGTATGACCATGGGCAAATCATTTAACCAGTAAGTCTATAAAATGTGGATAATAATAATAAATGTGGCACTTCTCATAAGAGTTGTTGTGAGCTTCTAATGGTATCACATACATAAATTCCTTTGCAAATCTTAAATTGATGTGAATTATCATTACTAATACTAGTACTATTTACAATGACCCTGTAAAAAGAAAACAATTACCTGCATCATCATTATCATCAACTCAGCCTCAGGCCAGACTCTCCTGTTATCTTGCATCGGGTGTCCATCTTTCAAATTGCAGATATAAAGATGCTCCATCATATTCTCTGCCTATATAAATCTCAGACACTTTGGTGGGGAGGGGGATAGGTTAGATTATTTTCTTTGAAAACAGGGGAGGTCCTGCTTTCTTTGGGATGGGATTTGTGCAGGAGGGAGAAAAATGACTATGTCTAAGAAGCCTGCCCTCGTGGCTTGGTACAGAAGCAGAGAATATGAGCAACTCTGACTCAGAAAGAGCTTGACCTTTTTTTTTGTCCAAATAGAGCAAGAGTCTGTGCTTTTCACTGCTTCAATGACTCAGAGGGGTTTCAATGAACTTTCTGTTCAGAGGGAGACCTTTCCGACAAATCTTACCCTTGGATCCTCCCCCAGCTCACTGCAGCTTGCCTCACAATAAGTAGCCTTGGAAGGTTAGCAAACAGTCAAGAACACAGAATCATGAGGAAGGGAATTCAGAGGCCATCTAGCCCAACCTTCTTGTTTTATAGATGGGGAGATGGAAGCCCAAGGTGGTTTGGGTTACTTGCCCAAGACACACTGCACACAGCTAGTTAGTACCAAAAGCAGGATTTGAACCCACATTCTCTGACTCCAAAACCAGTAGTCTTTCTATTGTACTATCATCCTCCTCTTGAATTACTTTCTAAAATCATTCACTGAATTTTTCTTCACTTACCAGCTTTGGCCTCTGAGACCCCTTCCTCTGACTGGAGATGGTGGATATGGAGAGCTCCTTCCAGAATCTTCACTTAAGGAGGGTGTCTGGGATAGTCATCTCTTCATTTCCAACCTGCCTACATTTCTCTGGACTCCTTTATTATTGGCCAGGGCCACGGGTAATTTTCATCCTCTCCTTACTTTTCAGCTTCCAAATTTTGTGTTGCCTTCCCCCATTAGATTGTAATCTCTTTAAGGAAGGGAATCTTTTATACATACATACATACATACATATATATATATATATATATATATATATTCCCAGCGCTTAGCACAGTGCCTGGCACATAGTAGATCCTTAGTAAACTGATTATTAATTTCCTTCCATTCCCTTTCTATTGAGGGTGGAGGTGGAAAAAAAGATCAACAAAGGAGTACCAAGTAAGACCCAGCCTTAGGCCTCAAAGGGGATAAAAATGACACAAAGACCCCTCTGGGTATAGGAAGAAGGAAAAGAACAGAATAATTTGGCAGATTCACAGGCTTAAGCAAAGATCCAGAATCTCATAGATGCACACATATTAAAAATACTGAGAGTTTCTCCTAATAAGACGGTGTTACTATGACTATCCTTCCTCAAAAGTAGTCTGATGTCTGTCTTCCAAATACTCTTAATACTCTGCTCTTCCTGAGCTTTTATCCTCCGTGCTGGGATACTGAATGGAATTTGGAACTGATGGTTTTCCAGCTTCATTTCCAGATGGAATAAAATGTGATGGTATCTACATGTGACAGTAAAAGTAGGGAGGGAGACCAGAACCAATACCATCAGCAGCTTTCCTTTAATCAGTTAAGTGACTAAAGGAATTCCTTGTAAAGACCCTCTTCGCCTGCTTTTAAACCTCAGGACTGTTGGAATGCTACTCTTAGCATGTTGCTGTCCTCTGGTGGTCTTAACTGGAATCTTAAAGGGCATCCAAAACCAAAGGCAGGGAATCACTGAGATGAAAGGAACTGGGCCGACAAAATTTCCTTTTCAGACACTGATATAAAAAATTAGGATTATCCTGGTTAACTTCCAAATGACAGGTCAGGCCTCTTACACCTTACTATTCTGCACCTCACCCTTTCCCCCCCATATTCTTCCCCCCATAGGAGAAACTCTCAGTATGGCCTTTCTTTAACAAGGCACACGATATCCTGACTGGGCATTTTCTCTGGCTGTCCCCAATATCTGGGATGCTCTCTTCTCATCTCTGCCTTCTGGATTCCCTGGCTTCTTTCAAATCTCTATTAAAATCCCACTTTCTACAGGAAGCCATTTTCAATGCCTCAATTCTAACCCTCTGTTAATTATTTCCTACTTGTCTTATACAGCTTTTCTGTACATTAGTTTGCTAGCTGTCTCCCCCATTACATTGTGAGCTCCTCTTGAGGGTGGACTATTTTGCCTTTCTCTGTATCTCTAGCATTTATTCCAGTGCCTAGCAGATAGTAAGTAGGTACTTAACAAATGAGTTGGCCAACAGGCTCAATTTCCTTATTTGGAAAGAAAGGACAATGACTTCTATGGTATTTCCCCTTAATAAAAGGATTTATTCTGTAAAACTTGGACTCACTCAAAAGGTTGCATCCAAGGACCTAGAAGGCCACAGGGGGCCTCAAGGCTGCAGGTTCTCCACCCTTGGTCTAATTTTTCTTACACAAAATAGTACTTCAAAATTTAAAGACAGCTATCGTGTTCCCCCAGTCTTCTAACAAAAAATCCCATTGTTCCTCACCAGTCCTTACATGCCATGTTCTCAAAATTATTTACCATCCCAGTTATCTTTGTCCAGAGGTTCTAAGCTTTCCTCTATGACCCCAGTACAACCAGAGCCTCCGGATGGCATTTTATCTGAAAGGCAGCAGCTGGTGAGATCCTAAACAGAAGAGGCAAAATTCATAAAGACTTTATTCAAAGGAATTTCCAGGTACATTAAGAATTTGCAAGTTCACGAGGTTAAAAAAAGACAGATTCAGCTGATATGTGCTGCTGCGCATTCACCACAAACTGGTACAAAAAAAAAAAACCCCAAACCATCCATTTGTTCAGTAAAAGCTACATAAGGCAGACTTAAAGCAGAAACAACTGACACCAACTGAGACCAACAGCCATTCATCCATAGAGAGCTCCCGGCAACTCTGTGGTGGAAGGAGGCAGATGACAGTCAAGCACTGACAGACATAGGAACTGAGGTGAGGGAGTGGTCACACAAGATGTTAGACAGGAATGTTAAGACTCACAATTAGGCACTTAGGTTGAAAAGCTTAGAGATCTGACATTCTACCCTGCATCACCACAGTTTGGAAATTGAGTCCCATGACCCAGTGACAACTTCTTAGACATCTCAGAACAGCCATCCCTGAGGGTCAGCCTCCTCTGGGGCCCTCCCCATGCCAACTGCAGAAAATGCTGACAACAGTCCACACTTGCACCCTCTGGGCTCACATGCTGCAACTGCACGGTTCTTGATCTTGCAGGGAGTGGGGTCTGGATGTATAAAGCAGCACGCTGGAAATCCCCTTCTTCTTATGGCACTGAGCTTGTTTCAGGTTCCATCCCTTCCCAATAACCCAACTCCCACCCCCCCCCCCCTCATCCTGAGACAAACATATTGCTGAAGTGTAGCTCATCAGCTTACACAATTTCTATTGGGATCTTCCAGCAGAACAGAAGATTTGACTTGTCATCAAAAAGCTTCCACTCCACCACCAATTTCATCTAGAGAAAAGAACAGGATAAGGGAAAATGAAATGGTGACCAGAACCCAACCCTTTCCAGGGGCCCCTGTGCCCCTTTACTCTTCTCCCACTTTGGAGGTGAGGATGATGATGACAGCTAATATTTACATCGCACCACGTGCCAGGCACTACGCTAAGCACTTTACAATTATCTCATTTGAGCCTCTCAACAATCCTGGGACATGCAATTATTATCATTCCCATTTTACAGATAAGGAAACTGAGGCAATCATCAGTCATGTGGTTTGCCCAGGGTCACAGGTGTCCAAGGCAGGATTTGAACACAGGTTTTCCTGACTCCAGGCCCAGTACTCTATATATTGTACCACCAGCTGCCCCAAATCAACATGAAGTTGATTCCTTAGGAACATCACAGCCTACCTGTCCCGACCCTTTCATTTTTGAATCAAGTATCTGTGTACAGATTCAAGACTCACTATTAGGAGAGGATGTGCTTTGTTTGAAGTGCTTTTCCAAAAGCGACAATGGACTTGGACCGGTAGGTCCATGCACTCTCACTTGGTTTGACACATGCTCGATGGGATACAGGGGTTAGGGTGCGGTCTGTGCCCATAACACAGAATAAAGTTTGTTGGTTAATACAGAAATTGCCATTTGCACCCCAAAGGCCATGTGGCTGGCATCTGAGGACCAACCTAGATACGTTCAGAGAAGTCCATCGCTAGGTTGGGGCAGGGTGACGAATGTTTTGATCACACCACTTCTTAAACGAACTACCAAGCTGTAGAGGGCTTGAGTTCTAGCAGCAGAGAGAATTCTCATAAAGTCAAAAACATGGAAGTATCATTAGACTGAGCCTACTCACTAGGATATTGTGTAAATGGATAAATGAGGACTTGCTTATACTCATTACCATCATCACTGAGTATCAGAAAATTTCCTCCTTTCCTTCTTCAGGGTCTAGCTACAGCATAACACATACACACGAGAAGCCCACCCACTGCCGACCGGATCACTCCCCAATGCCTGGGACAGGAATGTCACTCACATTGGGGTATTGATTCTTCACTGGCAGTTTGTTCAAGTAGTTATAGGTCCTGCCTTTTTCGATGGGACAGGTAATGCCACTCTTACACCCGTCAGGCTCAGGGATAGGGAAAGGTATTTCGACCCCCAATATGATGCCATGTACTGAAGCTGTGGTGTTCTGAGACCAGACATCTGTCGAGAAAACAGAACCAGACTGAAAGTAACAGCCATGTGACCAACCCAAACCCCAGTGGTTATCACCAGTAGCATTTAGGGAATTAATGCAATGGTACATTTTGCTGAAGATATGTTTTCTCATCTTCCTCAGATCCTCTAAGGAGGAATTTTCCACGTTCTCTGTTAAAACTACAGTACTCCCCAAACATGGGGGCAAGATGAATTTATCTGGGGACTGCAGACAGGAACAACTAGCAGCATGAGCTACTCCATCACTTTGTTCTTTGACTGTAGCTTCCTGTTTGTTAGATGGATGCATTTTTCCAGAAAAGATGAGAGGCACAATTACTTAACCTTTAACCCAATATCTAATCTACAATTCTAGGTACATCTCCAAAGCTCAGAGGATTTAACTGAATTGGGCATATGTACACATGGTTTTTAAAGGAGTCCCAAGGGGGTCTCTGACAAAGCTCAGTAAATAACCCTTGTCAAATTCTGCTGAGTTTTTACCAATTAAAGTCTTCTGGACCCTATGGATTCTTAAGCCTTGCTGAGACTGCTAAAGCAAAAACTCAGTTCTTAGGCAGGTCACTGCTCCAAGTACAATAATTCAATTCATGGGGCAGCTAGGTTGCGAAATGGATACAGACCAGCCCTGGAGTCAGGAGGACCTGAGTTCAAATCCAGCCTCAGATACGTTAACACTTACTAGCTGTGTGACCCTGGGCAAGTCACTTAACCCCATTGCCTAGCCAAAAAACCCAAAAAACAACAACAACAAAAAAGATTAAATTAAAAAATAAGCTATAACTGGACTCCTTTCCCTTAAGGTACTTGCAAGGAAATGTATAAATGAAGGGAAACAAGGGGTGGAGGGCATCTATTTGGATGCAGATTCAAGTCCCTTTCAAAGTGACCTTGAAGTCTCAACCCGTACAAAATGGATGATGATAATACTTGCACTACCTAACTTATAAGGTTGTTTGGAGAATTAACTAAGGGTGAAAGCCTTTTATCATGGTAAGGGACTAGATAAAGGAGAGTCAGTACTACTGCTACCTAGTTTCAAGTGTGAGTTAAACCAAGAACTCTTTGGACCTACCACTGGTGAAGGTGACATTGACACTGTAGGATTCTCCTTTATGCAATTTGCAGGGCTGAACAGAGCAGGGGATCACTTCCACCACTTGAACTTTTCCAACTGCAGAGCCTGGAGAGGAAGTACAGGGTAACAAAACAGGAATGAAAACACAAAAACAAAATACTTAACAAAGTAGAAAGCTCTAGCTGCAGAAGCCTCCTCTTCCCACCTCCAGTCTCAGCTAAATGATGAGACTAATTTGTGCGAACTACCACTCCCCCAACATTTGAACCTTTTTTGTTTTGTTTTGGCCTCAAAACAAAGTTTGGTCCTTCCAGCTGAATTTTTAAAAATTGTAAAGTGTTATTTCTAGTTCTGAATTCTCTCCCTCACCATTATATGTATGAATGGGCAGCAAAGTGACAGAGTGGATAGAGTGACAGACCTATGGTCAGGAAAATGCATGTTCCTGAATTCAAATTTGTCCTCAGACACTTACTAGCTGTGTAACCCTGTCCAAGTCACTTAACTTGTCTCAGTTTCCTCATTTTACAGATGAGATTTTACAAATGAGCTGGAGAAGAAAATAGTAAAACCATGTCAGTGGCCAAAAAACCCCCAAAAAGGGTTCTGAAGAGTTAAACATAACTGGGGGAAAAAAAATGACATACATATGAAGCCAATGCAAAACATATTTCTACCTTAGCCATTTTGTGAGGGGAAAAAGCAATAGAAATAAAAAATGAAAAATGCTTCAATTTGTACCGAGTCCATCCATTTTCTCTCTGGAGGTGGCTAGCATTTTTCATCGTGAGTTCAACGGATGTGTTATGGATCATTGCATTAAACAGAGTAGCTCAGTTTTTCATAACTGATTATTGTTACAATATTGCTGTTACTGCATACCTTGTTCTCCTGGTTCTGCTCACTTCACTTTGTATCAGTTTGTAAGTCTTCGCAGTTTTTCTGAAACATCCTGCTCATCATTTCTTATATCACAACAGCATCCATCACAATAACATACGATTAACTTGTTCTTTGTCACCACAAAAGAACTGCTACAAATACTTTTGCACATATGGGTCTTTTTTTTTTTAATTGCTTTGGGGTATAGACATAATAGTGGTATTTCTGTGTCAAAGAGTATGCAGTTTTATAGCCCTTTGGAAATGATTCCAAATGGAACATTAAAAAATTGGTAAGTTATCACCTGGTGAAAAACTTCAGGTCATCTAAGATTAGCTACAAGGAAAAACAGAGCCTTCAAAGAAGTAAACTGGGGCAGAAAAAATAATCAACTTCCTAAATTAGAAAAGTTCTTTAAAATGTGTTTTATGAATGCCACATATTGGCAATTTCACCAGATCCCTGAGCAGGTACTAGACTGAGGACACTCCAGGGCTAATGGCTTTCAGGAATCATACATTTTAGAACTGCTAGATTTTATGGCTTTTGCAAGTCAGGATGAGAGGAAACTCCTGGAAATAATAGTAATTATAATAATAATAGCTAACACATATAGCCCTTCAAGATTTGCAAAGCACTTTACAAATATCTCATTTTATTTTCACAACAACCACAGGAAGTCAATGCTATTATTATCCTCATTTTACAGATGAGGAATTAGGCAGACAAGAGGTTAAATCAAAGTTCTGAGACTATATTTGAACCTAAGGTCTTCCTGATGCCAGGTCTAATGCTCTATCCATAGCTGCTTAGGAAACCAAACAGACCTATACTATGATATCCCTGGGAAGGATGCCCCCAAGAAGAGCTGTACTAGAAACTAAATGAAGTTATACTAATAATATAGAAAGAAGGGGGCAGCTAGGTGGTACAGTGGTTAGAGTACTGGCCCTGGAGTCAGGAGGACCTGAGTTCAAATCCGGCCTCAGACACATAACACTTAACTAGCTGTGTGACTCTGGGCAAGTCACTTAACCCCGCTGTCTAGCAAAAAAACAACAACAAAAAAAAGAACACAGAAAACAGCTAAGACTGCCTGTGATCACTGCCCTGGCTTTATAAGGTCCTAAGGCTGACTCCAGAGTGAGGCTCAGATCCGAGTGGATGAGGACTATCCATACAGATCTATTTGTCTTGGTCTCTGCTCCTGGGCTCACAGTTCTCAGGTGAGTTTACTTCAGTCAGCTCTTTAGCTGAAATAGCATGGGTGTTCCATGGGGAAAATACATAGAAGAGACTTTCTTATGAGACCCTATTATGGCCGAGCTTGGAAAACACCCACTGCCAGTGTCTCTAAAATCAAACCAGACAGTAGGACATTAATCTTTCCAAGTATAGTTGATAACCTCATGATTTCCAAAGACTGATAGGGCTCCCTAGCTAGTGGGAGGGAAGAAGGACAAACGATAAACTCTGGCCTGAGTTTTGTTTCTGTTGCTTTACCTTTCATTTTTGTTTTGGCTGACAAGTTAAAAGTCAATTCTCTTTTTCTCATATGGAAGTGAACTACATTTTACATCAAATGTAATAAGGATATCAGTCTACGGAGATTACTCTATATCCCTCGAATGCCATTTTCACTTTGTACAAGTCTACACAACCTAAGGTAGTTTTTCTGTCATTTCAGTAGGGTCCAACTCTTCACAACCCCATCTGGAGTTTTCTTGGCAATAATACTAGAGTGGTTTGCCATTTCCTTCTCCAGCTCATTTTGCAGATGAGGAAAGGAAGCCAAGAGAGTTAAGTAACTTGCCCAGGGTCACACAGCTAGGAAGTGTCTGAGGCCAGATTTGAATTCAAGAGGAGTCTTCCTGACTCCAGGCCAGGTACTCTAACCACTGTACCACCTAGCTACCTTTTAGCTAACCACCTCCATGGGAAAAAAAATGTACTACCTAAGAATCCAAGAGAGCTCTAGTATTAAAAAGACTAATATTGCTACTGCTGCTTTGGTTCTCCTCCTCTACCCCAACAGCAGGCTCAAACAGAATGCTGAAGATGCTATCTTTTGGAAAGGTTTATTCATTTATAGGGAAAAAAATAAATAGAGCAATTTTATTACTACCTTGCTAAAATTTAATATGTAATAAAGACAGGAACTGGACCTTTGATTTTAATTGGTATAGGCAATTCCTGGAGAGGAAATTGGAGGAAAAAAACCAAATTCTACGTAAGAAGCTCAGTTTCCTCTACAAACCTTTTTCTTGTTCTTTACATGGTAAAATGTCTGCATTTGTCAATAATTAAATTCACAATAAAAGTAAAATGCAATTTTTAAAAAAGGTTTATTCATTTAATAAGCATTTACAGAGCACCTACTATACTTGCTGAATGGATTGGTGAACTTATTTATAAAAATCTAATGTTCATGGCACTATGCTACCTGAAGGGAAATAAAACCTAAGATCAGTTCCTATTCTTACAGGGCTACTAATAGTTTAGGACTTAAGACGCATACCATGGAAGCATATTAAGGGGGAAAAAACCCTCCTTTTAGTTTCTCTAGAAAATGCTAAATAAGTAACATCCCTCTTTAAAGCCCTTCCAGATAAGACTTCTAGAAAAAGCCTCTGGGAAAGATGGGTGATAGTTTTTTAGGAAATGAACTAATAAGTAACTTATCCCTTTCAAATCACTCAATTGCAGTGATTGGTGCTAGGACCCAACTTCTCCATAGAGAAAGGATTAAGATAGGGAGACGGGGTGGGGGAGGGGTGTTAAAGAATACCTTATCTTATTTAAGAGTGAGGGGAGTGGTTCTGGAGGGAATGGAATTTAAATACTCAAAAATTCTGGAATGTTAATTCTATTTTTACTTATGATCTTTTCCTTGGAGATTCCTTTATTTCTTAACCTGGAATTGTCTTGGGGCACTCATGTCAGAGGTCATGAGGCAGGGGAGAAGGTGGTAGTAAGATTCACCTAGTGCCAGAGTCAAGGAAATCAGATGTCTGAAGTATTTAAATTCTTATAAAAGCAATAATTTAAAACATCGTGTTAACGCTTTCTACTGTGTCTACTTTTTTATAAGACTGAAAAATACTTGTAGAACTTGTAAATATTACAAAACTGAGGTAGTTTGCTTAACTTTTCCTTTTAAAGGAAAAAAATACTTCAGAAGGTTGTAAGAGTCCTCAAAAATCCTTTTGATGTATGGGGAGGAAAAGATAGGTAATAGAAACAAGGCACACAAAAAATGGAGAAGTGGCAAAGGAAGGGCAGAAAACCCCTAACTGAACAAATAAGTTTGAGTGGGGAAAGAATTCTATTTCCCAATTCAAAAGTAAATTCCATTAAATATTTGCCCTAGTCAGAAACAATCTTACACCTTTGTAAGAAAAAGCCCTCCTCCTACTTACAGGTTTCCTTCAACAAAGTCAGACTAGCTCCTGACTCATTTTTCTTTAAATTCCTTTATATTACTAATGAAACAAAGTTATGGTAGTTTTAGAGCTATATCACTTATAGTGATCTCCTTCCCTCTATCAGGCATCTAAATGCTACTTTCTCTTTAGTTTAAAAAATGGGAAAATGAAATGAAAGTTATTTAGTAAACAGAGAGAGGCTTTTGTCTCCTAATTTTTATTCTGTAAGTGTCCTTAACCAGTTTCAACCCCCCTCACCATTCAGCTCTTCACCCTGGAAGGATGACATCAATGTGGCCAGAGAACTGACTGAATAAAATTGACCTATATTTTAAGTTGAAGATTGCACCCAGAGTATTCCCACAAATTAGTAATAGTAATGATAGTTAGTATTTCTATGGCTATCTAAGATTTGCCAAGCAAAATTCTCTCATTTGGTCCTCAAGAACCTGGGGAAGTAAGTGCTACTATTAATCTCCATCTTACAGATGAGGAAACTGAGGCAGACAGAGGTTAAACTTGTCCTGGATCATACAGCTACTACGTGGCTGTAGAAGCTGTATTCAAATTCAGTAATTCTTGAATCCAGTTGCAATCCTCTATTCACTAAGCCACATTTATTAAGCACCCACTGTGTGTCAGCACAGTGCTAAGCAATGGGGATACCTGTCGTATGTCCTTCATTCTCGAAGAGGATTGTGACATTAGGAAGGTGATGCCATGACTTGCAAGTAAATTGGATTTAAGTGAAGGAGGGCTGTTTAAAGTCACCAGCCTCCCTCTCTCCTCCAGAGCTGTCTGGGTCCAGAGGGAAGATATAGATCAGGATGACCGGAGATGGCTCTGGGATGCAGTGGGAGACCTTGGGCTTTTTAAGCTAAGATCTTTAACGAAGGTCCTTTTTGTCTATCCATCCTTGGGCTCATTTTCTACAATGAATTTCCATGCATATTGCTACATGCATGTCTCACAAGCTTTGAGAGAAATGAACTGGCACAAGCAGCTGACAATTGAGACAACACACATTCAGTGATTAAGACTGGATAAGAAATAAGGCAAAGAATGGACTCTTTTACCTAGTCCAAAAAAAAAATCAATCTGGGAGGGGAAGACCCTCAGGGTATCTGGCCAAAACAGAAACAATTGCTATTTATACTTTCTCTGAGCCACCAGAGCCCAATGACCAAGTAGGGCTTGTGCTAGGACCTATTGCTGGCAAATCAATGACAGAAAGAATGACTTAGGTTTAAGGGATGATCCTTAAGAAAGAAATCTAGCTGGTAAACCCCAAGATATCTAGCAAGGTTTCAGCAATCAAAATTTATATTCCTTTGGGCAGAACACCTGCAGGTTAAGGCTATGATACCACATGTGGACAGAGGGAGAGGAGGGGGTGAAAGAGCATCTAGCCTATGTAATTATCACTTTAATCTGAATATTAGGTAGAAGTTATACTCTTTGGAAAGGGATCTAGTTTTTAAGAACTTTTAAAACCCCAAATGAAACTTCATTTATAGGTAAAGTATTATAAAGCATGCTGTCTAATTACAGAACTAAAAAATGACTGCAAGCTTCTTCTCTTTACTTTATATGAGAGAAGAAAATAGGAATTTCAACAAAAACATTTGTACTATGCCTGGAAGAGGTCAACTGCTTAGAACCCAGAGAATGAAAAGGAAGCACAGGAGAACCTTTTTGGGCTGACCATTGAAGGCAAGATGGACTAAATGTGGCTGGACAAGGAACTGCTACGTGTGTACATAAATGTAAACACACACACATAACAGTTCTCTCTGTACATGCACATGTGTGGGGGGGGGTTAAGAAGGGGAATTTACACCATAGATTTCCAGAATTCTTCCCTTTGGTCAAGCCCTATGATTTAGTCCATTATAGAATGAAATATTTCTCCAGTGATTAGATTCATGTTGTGTGGGACAGAGACCACTTACTCAAAAATAAAAACAAAGACTTAGATACCTTGAAAGTGGAAAGGAGTTTATTGCTTTCTCATGAGAAAGAGTACCCTCTTAGTCGCCATTTCAGGCCAGGAGAGTTCGAGTTCCTTACAGAAGTAAAGGCTTATTTATACCCTAACTGAGCTCCACCTCTATAACCCCCTTCCCCTTATCCCACTGGCTGGGCTTTGGGGGGGGGCACAATCTTTAGGGGAAATCTAGAACAAAGGCAGTTACACAAGTTTGCCCAGAGACAAGGAACAGTGGGAAGTTTCTGCGAGGGCAAACAGTTCAGATTGGAGGCAGGGCTTATTCTTTCTGCTAAGCATTTAAAAGAAACAGGGTCTGAGTGGGAGAGGGTTTTGAAAGCATTAAGAAATATTAACAAGAACCATTGATTCCCTGAGGAGGCTTCACTTCTGAGAGACCATCTCTCACAATGTGAAGCCACGTTAACACAGAACGGATTTTAAAATTGTACATACACACAGAGAAGTTAAAACTACTAAATGAGAAGCTAAAGGCAACATTTTGAAAAACCACGATCCACCTTTTGATTTTTAAGTTTTAAAAAAGGCCCTTTGGCACTGTTGGAGTTGTGAACTGATCCAATCATTTTGGAGAGTAATTTAGAACTATGCCCCAAAAGCAATCACACTGTGCATACCCTTTGATCCAGTAATACCACTACTAGGTCTGTATCTCAAAGAGATCATAAAAAAGGGAAAAGGACCTCCATGCACAAAAATATTTATAGCGCTGGGGATAAATACAAAAAGAGGTAAAAGACAGTCCCTGCCCTCAAGGAGCTTATCAATCAGGGACTAATCGAGGTTCTGAAGATACAAGTGCTAAGAATGAAACAACAACATAGGTTGGAAAGGGACCAGAATAATCAGCACGCACCAGGCTAAGATAAAAAGAATTCTTTACTTCCACATCGCTAGCAAAATGTAAAAAGCCAAGTAAGAGCGTGGGCAAACAACCGGGCACAAATGGAGAAGTAAAATTAGTCACAGGATCATATGATCATATTTAAAGCTGGAAAAGATTTCAGGGGTCTTCCTGACCCAACCCTGGCATTGCATAAATGCATCTAAGGAAAAATCACGTGAGCAGCCCGCAGGACCTTCGGATTTAGAAATCAGCTTTTTCTTTCCATTGCCGCAGGCGGGGGGGGGGGGGGGAGAGACACACCAAAGATCAGCCAACTGGGCTGTGTATATCTCTGAACAGGGGAGGGGGGTGGTAGGGGTCCAGCTTCCGGCCGGTCCAAGCACAGAAAGCGGGGTGGCTCAAGATCCCAGAGGGGAGGGAGCTACCCCCTCTGCGCTCCCCACACAGGGAGAGATACCGTGTTTAACTTGCGGTCACGGAAATCCGGAGCCGCAATTCTGTACTTCGAGACACCAGCTTGTGTAGCCCCGGGCAAGCCAACCTGTCTGGCTCAGTATTCCCAGCTGCAAAATGGGGAGAACAACAGCATCTCCCTCCTAAGGTACAGCTGAGGAACAAATGAGGTGTGAAAACCCTCAAGCGCCACAGGCACGCTCATCATTATCAACATCATTATCCTTATTACTATTTCAGACTTGCAAAGTATTTTTCTCACAGTAAACCTGTGCGAGTATTACAACCATTTTACAGATGAGGAAACTGAGGTGGTAGGTCAGGAAGACCTGAGTTCAAATTTGACCTCAGATACTTGCCGCTGTGTGACCCTAGGCGGGTTTACTGAACCGCGTTTGCCTCAGTTTCCTCATTTGTAAAATGAGGTGGCGAAGGAAATGGCAAACCACTCCCGTATCTTTGCCAAGAAAACTCCCAATGGGGTCACGGAGAGTCGGACACGACTGAAATGACTCAACAACTACAACTGGGGGTGGGGGTGAGGGTGAGGAGAGAAGGGCTTGAACTGAAGCCAACAGATCAAAGCACCCACTGCGCGCCAGACCGGGAAAGCTGAGGGAGGGAGCGGGTCTCAGGGGCCCAGCCCAGTGCTCACCGCAGTCCAGAAAGTGAACCGGCTCGGCCAGGGCGACGACCCCGAGGGTAAGGAGCAGCAGCACCGCCGCGGAGGACGAGGAGGAGGAGGAGGAGGCCATCGCCGCTCAGAGGAAGAGCGAGGGGGCCGGAGGGAGCCGCTCCGAGCGGGCGCCGGACCTTCACCACATAAAGCCTCTGGGGCGGGGCCCGGGTTGGAGAGCCAGCCCACGTGGGCTGAGGCCCCACCCCCCCCGGTCACGTGCCTGGCCCCGCCCGCGGGGAGGGTCCTTCTTTTCACCCAACTCTACGTTTTGACTAATAAAGTTTCTCAGGTTTTGAAAGCACTCTCTCGACCGGCTTTGTTTTGTCCGGCCTCGCTTTCGGCACGCTGGCCAATGGCATTGTCGCCTCTCGCTTCCTGCTCCGACAGGACTTGGGGAGGCGGAGTCTCTCCCTAGCCAAGTGTGGGGTTGGTGGAGGAGGCACAATGGCGGCGTTGGTGGTAGGGCCCCGGGGATGGGCTCTAACGGTCCTGGGCCTGAGGACGGTGAACTCCGGGCTGCGGGGCAGGTACCGGGGCGGGGTGGAGGACGCCCCGTATGCCCTGGAGCGGAGCGGGGCGGAGGAGGGAGGAACGCGGGCCGAGAGGAGTTTCGGGAGGCCTGCCCCCACCCCTGGCCCAGGTCGCTTGCGGTCTCTGCGCCTGCGCTCACCCTCCTCTCTGCCCCCCCCCAGCAGGCTCCTCCGCACTTCCCGGCGCCCGCCGCTGATGCCCCCCCGGGGCGCCCCCTCAGGTGGGCGTCTGCTCGCGCTGGGAGTCGTCCACCACCTCCTCCTCCTTCTCCTCTGCTCGCTCCCAGACTCCGGGCTCCCAGTCAAATGAAGGTCATATCCGCCTCACTGAAAGCTGCGTTAAGGTAGGTCTCGGGGTGTTGGGCGTCCCTTTCGGACGCCCCCCCCCGTCGGCTCCTCCCCATCACATCTTCCTTTCCTGGCTTCGCAGGACTTCCTTCAAGCCCCAGCTAAAGTCTCACCTTCCCAAGTCCACCTTGACCTTAGTACCTCCTCTCTGAGATAATCTGCAATTTACCTTGTCTATATCTCGTTTGCATTTGATTGTTTGCATGTTGTCTCCCCATTAGACTGGGAGCTCCTTAAAAGCAGGGACTGGTTTTTTTCCTTTTTGTCCCTATCACGTAGTACAGTGCCTACCACATAGCAGGCATGTAATAAATGCCTGTCGACCGACAGCATTCGAGCCAGGCGCTGTACTAAGTGATGAGAATACAAAGAAAGGGGGAAAAGAAAAAACCTCAATCCTTATTCTCAAGGAGCTTATTTATACTGGACGGTCATGGGTCCCCCTTTTTGCCTCCCCCCCACCCAGAGGCTTCTGGAGATCACAGAAGAGGCGGAATTCCTCAGGCTACAAGTGGAGGGAGGTGGATGCTCCGGATTCCAATACAAATTCTCTCTGGACACAGTTATCAATCCTGATGACAGGCAAGAAGAAAGGGGGGGGAGTAGGTGGCATAGTGAAGAGGGCAATGGGCTTGGAGTCAGGAAGACCCAAGTTAGAAATCTGCCTCAGACATTAACTGGCTGGGACAAGTCACTTAATCTCTTTCTCTGTACCTCAGTTTTCTCATCTAGAAAAATGAGAAGGCTTTAAGGTCCCATCCACCTCTAAAATTATGATTCCATGAGGCACCTTCAAAAACAGTATCTTTTCAGGGATGGAGATACGGGGCAGTGATATTTTGAATTTGAATAACATCATTCTTCAGTAGAGTCCTCAATAATTATTCACATTTCTGCAATGTGTAAAGTACTTCATTATGCTGTTATTTCATTCAACTGGGGATGGTATACTAGGGAGAGTTAGAGACTTTAGTATTTAAAATAGCATTTGTGTATGTATATACAGCCAGGAACTAGGAATGAATATGTATCTGGGTATGAGTGAGCTCTGAGAAAGAGTATCTGATGTTTTTGGTGACTGCTTTTTAATTAATCACTTCTTCATGTTTCCCCAGGGTGTTTGAACAAGGCGGGGCTCGAGTGGTGGTTGACACAGATAGCTTGGCCTTCGTGAAAGGGGCGGTGGTGGACTTCAGCCAAGAATTGATCCGAAGTTCATTTCAGGTGTTGAACAACCCTCAGGCAGAGCAGGGATGTTCCTGTGGGACTTCATTCTCTATCAAACTATAATGTGTGAGATGATAAATGACTCAGAGACTGCCTTCTTCCTCCACCTTCCAGTTCTTGATTCCATGAGATCCATAGACTTCCAGGGTTTTTTCCATTGCTATGTCACTTGCTCTATTTCTCATTCACCAGCCCTGGAGTTGTATATCTTGTCACTCTTTATCACGCTATTTAGTTTTCTTTGTCAACATCAACATGCTTCGAAGAACATCCCCCGTAACACTTGAACTCATAGTTAAGTGGAAATTTTTCAAGCTCCCCAAACTACTGCCTCAGAACCATTGCCTGGAGGCTAAAATATTGACTTTAGCCCTAAAGTTCCAATATGCAGAGATGACAGCCCTGGCCTTCAGAGCTGCTTGTATATATGTGTATGTTATTAGTGTATATAGTATATAAAGTATTTATTTTTAAAGAAAGTGTTACTTATCTTTAAATCTTTTGAGTCAACTATAAGAGTTGCCTGTACAATGATCATGAGAACTGGGAAGTCGGGGAGGGGGGATAGATTGGAGAGAGACTTGTGACTTTCCTTCTCCCCCTCATTCCTGGCAGCTGATTTTTTTTCTTCACCAAGACAAACTTGGGATCAATGCTGTATGACTTTCCTTCTTGACATAAGCTCAGTCCCCCTTCTCCCACTTAGCATAAAAGTAAAGAAGACACAAGATGTATTAGTTTGTTCCAAATTACTAACAATTATGTTAGATTCCATAATCAAATGAAAAGTAGACCACAAAAGCAGCTATGCGGATAAAGTAGGACAAAGTTAGTTACTGAACCTTTGACAGTTATGTGTTCATTAATGATTAAAGTTTGCCAATATGTGGGAATAATGCAGTTTCAACTTAGAAGAAAACTTTTACAGTATCATGAGAATGGGGTGGGGATGTATTTTCTAGGCACTTTCTGAACCAGTGAAAGAAAAGATGTTTAAGTGTCAACTTTTATGGGTTACAGTCACTAAGTACCTAACTAAGTTCATAACATTTTTGGGTGCTCTTCGGAGCAATAAAATATAATCACCAATAATGGATGAAGGGGAAGAGAACAAACTTGATTTCAAAAGTGAGAAAAGGACAGAGTCCCTAAACTATGGGGAAGATTAATTACCTGAGAAGATCTTAGATTAGTAGTCAAATCAGTAGGAGGAGTTTGAATGTAAAATGACCACTCTGTGATTGCCCTTCTGAAAATCAGATTTGCAACATATATCAAACACCTAGCTCACCACATAGAGAATATTGCTCTTATCCTCAGGAAATGTCATATTAACTAGCTCTCCTGTCCTTCCTTCTGCTTACTCCCTTACCCTTCTGATGGAGAAACTTATGAATATGAAGCAGCTGGTGGCATAGTAGATGGCACTATGGACCTTGATTCAGGAAGGTGAGTTCAAATCCAGCCTCAGATACTTCTCGGCTGTGTGACCCTAGGCGAATTACTTAACCTCTGTTACTGTTTCCTCAATTGTAAAATGGGAAAATAATAGCACCCACCTCTCAGAGTTGTTGTGGCAATCTAATAAGATAGCAACTGAAATAATTTTGTAAAAAGTGCAATTTGTTGGTTGGTTGTCCTTTGTTTTTGAAGAGGACCAAAATGACATCACTATGTTGGAGTCAAGTTACAGGCTGTCTGCCTGTGACTGACCAGACCAATACTAGCTCCTCGGAGTGAAGAGAGCATTGTCGCTATGTTCCGGGTTTATTTGTACACTCTAGAATTTCCCAGTAATATTGCTATACTTATCCCATTTACCAGGCAGATGTTGGGAAACTAATCAAAACAGAGAGAGTGGCACACCCAACCCTGTGGGACCCGTTTGTTAATTTTCAAGTTGAACATTCAAATGACTAAATGTTATCATTATGAATAATGTTCTTGTCAGATACATATATTTGGGATGGGTTGATCTGCTGATAAAGTGGATGATCAAGACAACTTATCCCATGATTTAGATTGTCATTGACAATGATCCAGAGACTGGTAACTGGTAACAAACCAGGTAACAAAGAGAGTTTAGAGCTTTCCAAATTCCATAGTACCTTCACCACCCTTGCCACCCTTATTCAGCAAGAGCAGCAGAAAGTTACATTGGTGTTCTGAAAAATTAGCTGACCAGAATAGATGAACAAAACCAATCTGAAACGGGCAGGTGCTTTTAGCTCCTATTTGGAGCCTAAACAGAAAAACTGGCCATAACCCACGTGAACATGAGGTACTCATGGGAAGACTCAGGAGAAGCCCCGAATTCCCATACTATGTACACAAGTGTCTGACTGATAACAATCTGAGTTATTGCCGGACTTAGATGAGGTGTTTTAAAGGTTTTCCTTTCACAAGTCCTGGAGGTACTGCTAAGAGCTCCTTTTGGACCACGTGATTACAACCTGAAGATTGGGTCCACCTTAAAGCCCATCAAAGAAAGACAGCTTTTGAGAGCCTGTATCAGACATGCCATCTTGGAGAGGGAGGGGGAGAAAATTTAAAAGCTCGAAATCTTAGGGAAGTGAATGTTGGAAACTAAAAATAAATTATTTAAATAAAAAATAAAGATCCCTTTTAAACCCCCCCAAAAAAAGACAGCTTTTGTACCTTGCTGGAAGGGAACCTGTCAGGTGTTAATAACCACTAACAAGTCTGTTGAATGATGAAGTCTTTTATCTGAGCATCACGCTGTATGACAACTTTAGTCTTTTCTGGAGGCCAATATTCTAACAGGACATAATGACAGTGCTTCAACTTGGCAACTGCTCACACCACCACCACAGTCAACAACGGTATTTGCTATGCCCCAAGGTCTATAACCTCAGGGATAAAGAGACTACCAATTGTGCTCTTAGTGCTAGCCTTAACTAATATATGTCTGGTTTTGCTTGGACCGCTGGGAGTTTTGTAAGGTTTTATAGAAACTAAATTATCATCAAAGAACCGTACCACTGATATCAGACTCCATATTTATACTGATCAACTAAAGTAATGGATTTTATGCTAGTTTATGC